ATTTGCATTTGATTTTCAAGGAAAGATGCAGTTTGGGTTCTGCACGTCGTAGATGGAATAGTTCTACTGTATCTCTAAAATACAAACACCACTGGTTAGTAAGAAGTTCAACCCCGAACTCCCCCTTTCCTCACCCCTTTAAATATAAAATGTTATAGAAGACATTTGCTTTGTTAAAAAGAAAAAAGAAAAAAGAAAAAAGAAAAAAAAAATGAAAAAGAAAAGATGCAGTCAGGAGAGCACATGTGATGACACTATAGACAAAGCACATTTGGTGCAATCATTTGGTAAAGATAATGTATTGCTAATTAATATTGCTTTTGTATGGCTGAAAGGAAGTCTAGTGGATGGCCAAAAAATTAAACGAAAAGGAGTCTAATAAATTTCAGCAGAGGATGAATTATGTAACCAGATGGTCCAGATCAACTTAATTTTCTTCCAGCAAGAGAATACAAATTTGAGAAAATCTAGAAGTAAAAATCTATTACAAAATTAGATTCTAGCACATAAACTAACAACAAAATACCAAATAACTAAAAATATTATGCAGTATGCACTATTAATTTAAAAAGTTAGAGCATTAACAACAAAAATATCGTGTAGATTTGATAATTTAAAAAAGATAAATGTTAGTGTGATAGATTTTAATGAATAATAATAAGATAAGGAAAATCAGTTATAAATTTGTAAAAAAGAAAGTAGAACTAAATATAATAAAATTTTAATTAAAAAAATTAAATTGATCAAAAAATAAAAAATTAATTTATTAAGAAAGTAGAATACAAAATATGAACAATTAAATTACTCTAAAATAATAATAAATAATTTAAAACACTATTATTTAACTAAAAAGATATGTGTTACATATCTTTCAAGTTACAAAAAAATTAGTGTATAGTATCACTGCGTCAATTGACTAACACAAGAAAGGATACCACAACATCAACCATGAAATATGCCTTTGCATCTTGAGGGAAGACAGGGAGGTACAAGCTAACAAAATAAACTCTGTTATTTTCTGAACAATTAATAAGAAAGCATTCAAAATTTCACAAAAATACTAAAAACTCCTTGAGTTTCACGCAGCCAATAAGGATTCTCATGTAGGGATGTCAATGGAGTCCTGCGGGGTCAGGGAGTCCCTACCCATCCCTGTCCCCGTGAATGGTGAAGACGGGGATCCCTGCGGGGATTTTTTACGGGGGGCAAAATTTGCCCCCCATCCCCATTTCCCGTTAATTAATACCAAAATATATATTTTTTGCATCAAATATAAATAAAAATTAATTTAACATAAATAATTAAATCAATAAAATTGTTCCAAATAGAGATTAATCCAACATAAATCAACATGTTCCAAACATAAGTTGTTCCAAATATACATTGAAATTAATCCAACATAAACCAACATACTTGTTCCAAACATAAGCAAAAATCAACTCAACATAAATAAAATAACTAAACTAAACCAACATTCAACATGAAGAGAAGCAGTCAAAAGCCAACTTAAAACACTTTAGCTCTCAAAATCCACAATTGCTCATAAAAAGACTTGCAATACAATTAGTAAATACTTTATGTTAACATATTTATAAAAAAACTGTTTATATTATTAGTATAAAAAAGGATCATGTATATTTACCTCTGAATTATTGTCTTCATCACAATCCACATCCTCATTTTGAGTAAAGAAACATATATCATCCAAAGAACCTATTTCAAACCTGAAATTTAAATTAAAAATTAACTACTTAATTAAAGAACAAAAGAAATATACATAAAAAAATAAAAGAAACATAAACTTAATACCTTTGAGATTTGTTCTTAACCAATCTTGAAGACACATCAATGCTTCTATTGTATCTGGATTAAGCTTGCTACGATGTGAGAAAAATGCACTGTAAGTCTGTAACAATTGTTGAAGTAGTCTTGCACTCCGGCACAGGCAGCAGAGACAAAGTTTAGCAGTCAGCAGGATGATGGGATGCTGCAGGCTGCAACTAACAGCTTTGACAGCAACTCCAAGAGCAGATCTGTAATAGCTCTAGCAGCAGATCTGTAGCAGCTCCAACAGCAAATCTACAGTAGATCTGTAGCAGCAAGAAGGGGAGGGGAAGGTCGAAGGTGAGGTGAGACTTGAGAGCTTGATTGTCCGACCGAGACCGAGAGTGAGTGAGGGGTTGAAGTGAAGGCTATGGCTGCACTGCTGCGTGAGTGAGGGGCGAAAGTGAGGGCTGTGGTTGCACTGTTGCGTGAATGAGGGGCTGAAGTGAGGTGAGAGTTCCGACCGAGACCGAGAGTTAGTGAGGGGCTGAAGTGAGGCTGTGGCTGCACTGCTGCGTGAGTGAGGGGCTGAAGTGAGGTGAGAGTTCCGATTGAGACTAAGAGTGAGTGAGGGGCTAAAGTGAG